ATAGGAAAACAATTAAATTCTGAATAAATACGTAACCCAACCACTGAACAGCAAGCAAGAAATGGCCTGTGACTTGTCAGTCACTGGACTTTGATCCTGAAATTAAAGGGTTCTAAGACCACAAAATGCAGTCCTAACTGCAAGCTTCTCAGGTTTTCCAGAGAAAACAAATAGAGAAGTTGGATGGGGTTTCTCAAAGGAAACTGAAGAAGTAGCAAGTTAAAAATGAAGCAAGGCTTAAGCACCTAACTGCTTTGGTTCTACAAAACCCACAACCATAATATAAATTAGTATCATGCAATAATAATAATAAATTAGTATCATGGATCTAGACCTTCAGGTCTAAATCCATCCTCCCTTTTCTGAAAGAAAGTTCCAAACCCACATAAAACTAAATATATTAGCACGCAGACTGCATATTTTTAGGCATGTATGTTTATTTTGAGAAATTTAATTCTGCTGAAGTTAAATGGACTTAAGATTAGAGGCCTATAGTTTAGTTGGAATAAGACCTTTTAGAATGTAATTAAGATCAGAAATCTTCCACTCTAACTATGGGGAGAAAAGCCAAAAATGAGCTGCAGCAGGAAACCGCTCCTGTACAACATCTGTTCAGGGCATTTATACAGCATGAGCTCATTTCCTACTCTACAGGTGCTTGACATAACAAAGCCTATTAGACACAATGCTTTTATCAACACCAGCAAAGATGTAAAGGATCAACAAGGCCATGCTCAAATGACTATGCCACAAGCACAGTGTGAACTTGTGAATTGCTGCCTTGTTTTAACTGCACCCAAGTTAAATGCAAAAAGCTATACAAGCTGTTTACGCACAAGAGAAGGATGTGAAGATCCTAACATGTAAAATCTTCACAGTTTAGGATATGGATGGATTTCCTGTCTGAAAAACACAACCTGAGAACAAGAGCCATTACTCACTCACAGCATATTTCTTTCCTAAGGAAGTCTTAACTCCAGGGCAATAAAATCCCTCAAAATTGATTCTGTCTCTTGAAAACTAGCAATGAATTGACTAATCCTCTCTTTATGCAAGAGATGCACACACGCCCCTTGTTTCTTTGCCCACTCATTGCACCTAAGTCTAAAGCAAATATATAGGCCACCTTTGCTTTTCACATGACATGCATCCAGCGTTAGGGGAAAAAAAAACAAACCCCACACCCTCATGGCACTACTGCTATACAAATATACAAAACATCACTGTTTACAAAGAACAAGATCATCCATGCTAATCAATCCATTTATCTAGGTACCTGTAGGCAATGGTATGGATTATACTAAAGCAAAGTTCAAAAGCTCAGAAACAAAATGGCTATGAAGTAAAACAACATATCAGGATATAATTTTTTTAATTTTACAATACAATATTGTCTAATTTTACAGCCTTTGAAAAGTAGTGATGGGTATATAAGCTACTGAAGGAAGGAAATAATTCCTCCTGCTCAAAAACACCCCACTATAGCTAATTTTGTTTAAAAAAAACAAACCCAAACGATTATATAAATACATAAGCTAAAACTGACCTTCAATGGATTATTATGGATACTAAATTTAGGATTCCTCCTTTCCAATTCGAAAACACTGTAATAATATCCGTTTTTGAAAATAAGCTGTTGATTTTAAGGAATTACAGTCTCAACATACCATGATAAATATCCTGCAGAGAGCCACCTCCACAAAACTCCATGCAAATCCATAGCTTGTCTCGTCTAAAAAGTGAACAAAACCATTCATTAGCTGTCAGATTTGAAAATAGCACCTATAAAAGATAAGTCAGCAGACTCAAACATCATAAAGCACAACATAACAAGATCTACATTATGAAAAGTACAAATCAAATAATGATTTAGTCTTTATGCGATACTTCACTGTCAAAATTGTAACTAATGAAACACTCCAACAAACCTTGGAATATTTTGGGTAATAAACACTGTTAGTGAAACATACACACTGATTTTTCTTCAAGATCTACTATGAAACTGAAATACACTTTTACTGAGAGTAGAGAGAAAACAGATGTAGGTTCTTATTTCTTCCTCATTTTCACTTCTCTGCTTTTTTCATAACAGAGGAATTAACATAAACAAAACAAAAAGAAACAAATCCAAACCAAAAAGCCCTAGGGATCTCTCTCAGCTAAATTTCTTTCACAACAAGTGCAGTGAAAATCTAGTGCTTTAGTCAAAACTAGGCAGAGTGGAGTCCATGCTGTGGGTAAATGCCTTCTCAGGTAAGTGTTTTCCTGCAAAAATACCTATACATATTTTCAGTGGCAGCGGTCAGACGGAACTTCTTTAGATTCCTCTTACTAAGAGAACCAATTCAGTTTGACTCACTGTACCTCCATAAAAGGTGCTTTCCAAGAATAGACAATGGGCTGAAGGATTCAAAGGTATCTTCTATTATGGACACTAAACTCTATTTTCACGTAGTAATTTTCACTGGTAAGACAGATGTACCATGTGTGGCCACAGAAAGGTGTTCTGGAGAGTAGAAAATCTGGGACTTGCCTAGTCATTCCTGGCCATCAAAACACACAGGAAAGAAAAATTGCATACAACCATCCTAGGGCAGATTGTGACACAGGACAACAGAAGGAAAGACCAATGATTGTTCTGCAGCTGGCCCATGACCCCTGGTCTTGGGTTTCCTTGCATTTGTAAAGCTCTGTTAGAATAGTTGAGACACTCTTGTGGGCAATGCCAATATGCATGGAAGTGTTTTGCAAGTTAATGGGTGTAAGTACTGAGCCTGTCCCCTCAGCTGCAAATTGCAAGTATTCTCACCAGCAGGTAACAGCTAGAATAGCTGCTGTTCCAAGGAAGAACTGTCTTTCTTGAATCTCCTCCCCTTTTATGTGCATAGTCCACATGGTCCTCAAAGCTACATCCTGGCTGGTTCCTCTAAAGGTGGGAAGGGTATTGTTCAGGCATTACAATTACAGGTTTTAAGCAACAGAAGTCCCTGGCTCTTAACTCCATATGTTTCTAGGGGTTAACTGCTTGAAATAATAAGAAGGCTTTCCACTGAAATAACTGATCAAAAGTCAGACACGGAAGCAATGTGACTATCTGTGAGAGAAAACAATTAGCAGTGGCAGAGGAATACAAGTGAGAAAGAAGCACTGAAGAGGCAGACATGTGCAAGTCCCTTGTTTACTCCCCACAATGATGCAGGGCTCAAATAGGGACACTTCTGGGGACACTGGGCTCATGAAAGCCGCTCTTTCCCATACAGCTGCATCCTGTTTGATGCCAGCAGTAGTGTGGAAGTGGGAAAGAGACAGGGCAACCCTAGCAGCATTGGGACATCAGCAGAGCACAGCCAAGTAAGAGACATGAAGTAGCTAAGTGCTATAAATTCACACCTTCACTTAACTGGGCATTAACTGCCCAGTGTGGAAAAGTCCTACAGAAAAGGAAAAAAAAAAATCAGGAGGATCAAAAGAGGAGATTGCATTTCTAATTCACTACCTAGCCTTTCATTATTGTGCCTAAGTGCTTTGAGACAGGTGAAGATCCATGTAATCAACAGTAATGGTGTACATAGTTTTCTGTGTCTGCAGAGCATATGGCAAGCGTAGCAAACAAAACAGAGACAGGATCAACAATACCGTTTAGCATCTGCAACTTAATACGCAGGCTAGCAGCAAGGCAGAAATTTGGCTGTGAGAAATCCATACATAAACAGAAGCATGGGGAACAATATACTGGTAAGTGCCAAGTATTCGATGATGGTATCCTTCTTATTGTTCTTAGCACTTAAAGATACTTGGAAAACAAAAGGTCAGACAATGAGAGGCCTCAAAGACAGACTTTCAATTGCCCAGACAAAAGAGAAGCACTACACCAAAGAAAGAGGAGGGGACCAAGCAAGAGCACAAGAGAATGCCAAAATATATACTATATTTACCAAAATTTAATCCTGAGGCTACAAAGGTATATTTTGATACCCTAAGACAAGAGGAAAACTGTTTTTTGAAGAAAAAGAACACCCAGCCTGAATACCCCATCAGGAGAAGAGGGACCATTTCAATCTAAAAATTTTAAAGAAAGTTGAATGCAATAATATTTGTTCATAGTCTGTTTTCACACGAAATCTTAAAAAGTCATCAAAAGCAGCTTTTTATTAGTTATACTAAGCAATCTGTTCCCACGATGACTAGTTAAAAGAAGCAGCTGGTAGGACAACTGGATACATTTGTCAGTGCTTCTACATTGCAATTAATCTCACCTCCACAAACACACACAAATGGAACCCTTACCTCCTGGTCCGAAGTTCAATATGTTAGAAAAACAGCTCAGGGTAAATTCAACAACACTGCAGAGCACCAGCCCTCCCCTCTGCAATTCCTCACTCACATCTTTCTTCTAAATTTGTCTTCTGAAAAGGCTTATAACAATGACTTTCAGATTTGTGGAACACGCCAGAATTAGTGTCACATGTCCAGAAAAATGTCAACACAACTTCCTTCCCAGTACTGCAGACAGGTACAAATAGAGTCATCATGTGCAGTGGAGGACATCTTAACGTACAAAAAGGTGCTCTCTTCCCAAACAAAAGCAGGCTTTGAGGTTGGAAGGAAGACTGAAGAGGTGCAGTGTTATGCGATCCCAGCAACACAACTTTCAAAATATGGAACATCCACTTAAGAAGCTTAGTCACCAAAACACAAAGCTTCCAAATACTGCCTTTAGGAGGTCACAAGATCCCTTGCCAACTTTATCACCCAGCAATCCATAAGCTGCTGTCAAACAGACTAATAACTCCACAAATTCTTTAAAAAAATTTGAACATTAATTTGAGATATATAGCAGTATTAAGAATTGATTGTTCACGTACAAGAAAAAGCCTGCCAGTACTGCACTGAATGGAAGTAACACACAATTTAGGTTAACCTTCAAATTAACCTTGAACATTCAAAACTGAAGTGCAGACACTCCTAGTTGGGAATAACAAGTCCCTACATGTACATATGCCCTATCTGTATGCATACCTGCACAAACTTGGGCAGCTCACAGACCAGCCTGGCATTAAAAAAATATTCAGGATGCCAAGACAAGCACCCTTCAAGGTACAGGATGCCAGAACAGCATAGCTTGTTGATTTTATTTTCAGACTTTGATCCCTTCCTGCACGATAATGCAAGTGGTACAGACTCCCAGCCTTGCTCAGTGCAGCGTGCAGATGGTGCTCATCTAATAGGCTAGTCAACAGCTTGCTTGCTTTGTTTGTTCTCATACATGCAGTGCATTTCTACTTAATTTTATTCTGAAAATACATTTGCTCTTGGAAAATTCCTTCACGCTCCACACTAAACTATACCTGTGAAATACTAACATGACCAGCTTTTCCACTACAGACCTTTGAAATGACACTAAAGCAAACGTAGTTCAAAATACAGATTCTATTAACTTGAATCACATGTCAGCATGTAACACTTTCACTCAGACAAAAAGCTAACAAGATACCCTTACTAAGATGCAATGCACCCCATCAGTGATAAAACATGGTTTCAGTGCGCGTCCAGGGCTATTCAGTGAGGCAAGGAGAGGCAAGAGGCAAGGAGAAGAAACTCCTCAGGACAACATTAGTCAGATGACTTTCTGCATGAGACGTCTCCTTCTCCTCTACCATTTATTGCCAGGACTTTCTCTCTTCCCCAACACTGTCTCCATGTTCTGGCACACTCAACTTGTCCAATTTCAGTTTGTTCCAACTACACAGGTGTTCAACATCAAGGTCACTAAGAGCACTACAAAGTGCTCCACACTTGCCATTTCAACACTCTGTCCCAGCTCATCCCAGAGCAAAACAAGGAACGCTCAACAACAGCCAAGCAAGCCAGGAAGCACGTGTTAGATCTTCTGTAATACTGCAAGCATGCACCAAACCAGTGCATGCTGGCCTAGTAACTGGGATCTCCTAAGCTTTAGCTGATCTAGAATGAAAGTAAAAGAAATACGGTATTTCAGAAGATAACTTGGTCAAATTTGAAAGGATTTTTAAAAGGAAAAGATGCACTCCAAATATGAGAAGCAAATTCTGTCATATGTTCCTGCTTCAAAGATGGTAATTTTTTGTTGAAAGGCTTCCATGTACCAAGATTTTTCACGTGAAAATACCGCCTGCATCTTCCCACTTCCCAATCCAAAAGCACTTGGCCTATATTGCTGGAGAGCTTTTGGCTGCAGCAGATAGCCATCATGGAGACTTTCTGCTGGAGTCGCTGAAGTCTAGTACACAATTAACACAACTTGGCATCTTTCCTTTGTGAATAGGGCCTAGCAATCTTCACAGCATGCAGAGCTGTCATGTCCCACCTCTGTTGTCCCCAAACACACAGAAGATCTGTGAATACGCAAAAGGAAGGAGAAGCCTCTGCCATAAAGAGCATCACAGCTTTTTTAGAGCTTTTTAAAAGCTTTTTATTACATGGCATGATATGGCCAAAATTAGACAATGTAGGTTCACAAAATCCAGCATTAAAAGGTCTAGGTCTTAAGTAACAAGCAATTGCTATATCTAGCATAAAACATTTGTCAGGATGTATTAGAAAGATTTATAATAGCAAACATTATTAGAAACTAGCCATCAATTTTCTCAATATTGAGCCTTTGTATGGAGTGTAAGTTTACTGTACTTGTAACAAGTAAACGCAATACCTTACAAAAGAAATTACAGAAAATAATGAGACAGAACAATTTAGATATACTATAACAATATACTATTACTACATTGAAAATCCTAAACAACTCTGCAGCTCAAGAGAGAAAAGCAAAGATAAAAGAGCTAAAATATCAATTATTTTTAGATTTCAAAACAAATCCAGAACACTTATCACCAGTGGGCTTCCTAAAGGCTGCACAGTTTAGACTCTTAGGCATTTCAGTATGAAATTGTCCTTAAAGCTTAACATAGCACTACTCTTAAGCAAGGAAAATCCCAATAATTCTTTTCCTCCTTATTTCCCCATAACATTCAATTTTGAGTTCTCAGACAATTTTACATGCCAACACCAGTTAAGTCAGAAGATTTCTGAGAACTTTATCTGTATTATGTAATATTTATACTTCCCAAAGTTTTGCAAATTTAAGAAACATTTTACTGAAACAGATTTAAATGATACTATATACACAGACTCTTTGTTCATTCTTGTCACACTTCTGCTTAATTTTCTGTTTATGTATTAAATTCAAATTTTAAACAACTCATTTTCAAGGAAACATGACTACATGGCCACTGAACGGTTTTGCTAAGAGAAACATCATTCATAGAGAGACACTGTAGTAAACAGAACAGACTTTAAGGTAAATGAAAAAAAAAATATACAGGTGGATAATACTTATTTGGTAAATTATGTTTTGCCTAAGTCACCTTACAGACCTGTCCTTTACAAGGAGATAGAGAGGCATTTTTAAGTGAGCAAAAGAAACTAACTGTACCTGAGATAGCTGCCAAAATAAGCAACAATGTTTGGATGTTTACAGTCTTTCATCATAATGATTTCCTGCTGCACAACAGCAAAATCTTCTCCTGAAAAGCAGAAGCATGAATATTTTCATTGGCTTTGTTTATACTCGCATCTCAACTAGTTCAGTACGTATTTGTAAAATAAACATTAATTACCTGCCAGTTTCACAAATACATTAAGCAGCTGTAAATCAATACTTATTAGCAAGGGCTTAGCAATAAGTAACTATATTAAGAAGTTTCATTCTGGGCCAGATGGACCTCACATCTGCTATCTGATACCTCTTCCTAAAGTCTTTATCTTCCCTGAGACCCCAACTGTGTTCATCTGCATGTGCCCTGCCAATAGCCCAGCTTCTTAAAAACATAACAAAACTTTGCTATTTTTGGCCACACATCCAAAATCCATGATCATCTTCCTGAGGAAAAACATTCAATAGTACACTGCTGCTGCAACTCTTCAGTAAACTCGGTAAGCACAGAAGTTTATGGACTGAGCGTAACGTATGTCCAGATAAAACGCTGACACAGATGTGGCACTTACCCAAATATTACTATTTGGTACCTTGGTTGTACCTGGTTTTCTATAAAAGCTTCTTACCAGATCTGTACACTGAGAAAATAATGTATGACACTGAAAACCTAACAGGTTTCCCAGACACATTTTTGCTTTGGGGATGGTGTGCAGGGGTTTTGTAGGTAAAAGAGAGGGTGAGAAAGATATCAAGTGTAAAAGAAAGACTGTAACAGGTATTTGACAGCCTCCTTTTTTTTTTTTTTTTAAGAAATACATGCCAAGTGCTCTTTTGCAGTTCAGTATCTTACAGTGGTGCTCCTTTTTCCTAAGTCATAAGGGCAAGTTACAGCTCGTCTAGTATGTTATTTCAAAATAAGTTATTCTGAAGTTTTTTTAGTTACTAGACATACACAGTTCACAAAAAACAACTCATTCTTGCTGATCTCAAGGACTCAAGGACTTCATAGATGAAACAAGCCTGAAGGCCTAAAATAACCATTTACGTTCATGAATAACTTCAGAGACTCTTTAAAGCAAGTTGAAAAAACAGGCAAGTTCAAAGCATGTCAAAATTCTCTTTTTAGTGTACTGCTATAGCACATTTCAACATAACTCAAAAGAGCTTTTAAACCAGAAACCAAAGTTATTATCTAAAAAGTTGAATATAGACACTAAGCTCATATTTATCAATTGTTGCAACCCATAATCATTCTCAAATATGGCTGTTACTAAATTTCAAACGTAACACAACAAATTACAACAGAACTGGCCAAGCTACTACCTAGAGAAAATATGTTTTAACTTTCTCCCAATATGTCAAAATACTGGTGACCATTTGGTTCTTTTTAACCAGAAACACAGTATTCACATGTATTTTATTTAACTGAAAACAAATTTCAAACCACAAGTTGCAAGTTATCATCACAACAGACTGTCTACTATCTGTGGTGTATCCATGATGGTTTACTGTACCCTGGCTAGACCTGTAAACATGCAAACGCTGAAGAACAAACAAGAAATTATTTTCACATACAGACAGGTATCTCCATGAAAAGACACAACTCCTCCATGATTTGACCAGTGTTTTCATTGAATCCAAAATATTAAAGTAGCATAAGTGCCTAAACATTATTAACCCTTAGTCTTCACACTCTCCCCTAATCCGCAAAATTTGCAAAAGAAGCCAGTGCCACGGTTATGGAATATGAACACTGCCCATCTGAAGCTGTGAGTCAAGCCTCTACCGCAACTAGAAGTGACAGAGAGAAACTGAGCTCACTGAGCAAAACAGAGGTTGGCTAAAGTGCATTCTCTGAGCACCACTCAGGTATCCAAAGGCTGCCAAAAATATCTGGTTTAACTGCAAGATGCCAGTTGTTATCCCTATTAGCACAGCATGAGGGCAAGTTACCCCAGCACATCCCCAGGCTCTGTCCACAGCTCAGGGAACACGCACAGCACCGTTCTCTGAGTTCTGTTCAGCACAATCTATACAACACTCTTTTCAACCAGGTCACTTCATACTTTTGAGAGTGGAGGTCAGCTGTGTAAAAAGTTGCATTATTAAATGCAACTGAGACATCATCTGAGTCTGCTGAGTCCTATGGTTCTTTACCCACTACGCAGGTCTCCTTTCCCTGTTTTATCTTTACAGTTCTATAGGGAGACACAGCATAGCTGCTTGGCTTGGCTGTGCAGTACATGGGTTACCAAACTAAGTACTCCAGCAATGGGAAATGACATAAAGAGCCAAAGCAGCAGAACTAGACAAGATAGTCTGAGACCACAACTTCCAGTGTGAATAAAAGTGTAATAAACATACACTTTTGGAACTACGTAGTAACACACTGTCCTGTCTTGACTTTTTAAACATGCATGCATTATATAAACGCAACATTTCTAATCACTTACAGAATTGTAAGAGAAAAAAATAGAAGAAAGTAGCAACTTCTTTCCCTGCTTGCCTGCACAGACCTTAAGGATCAAACAAGGTAGTAGTTAAAAGTATGTCCCCACCAGTTAAATCTTGAAATGGAACACCAACAGTTATGAGTTAAACAAAAAGTCTGGACATTTTAGATTTCCCAGATTACTGTACTCTTGTTCAACAACTCTAGCCATATTAATAGAACAGCACTTGCAGGCTGATAACTGATCTGTAGAGCATAGACACTTTGTGAAATCACAACTTAAGCACAGTTCAAGCATAAATCTAGCATGCAATGAAGTCCTGATCAGAGTCTCCAAGAGAATTTCAGCAAAAGTACTCAATTCCCAGACACTAATGCTCATCTATTATTTCACCCTTCCTTCTTTTTATTTCTCCCTCTATGCTCTCTCCAGGTAAATTCTTTTCTGCGTTGCTGTCTTCCTCATTTCTTTTTTTCTATACAGCTTTTTGTATCACACGGGTTGAAAACATAGTACTTAAAACAACTCTTACTGAAATGGTTCTCCAATTACAATTTTTCCTCTCTCACCTTGCTTGTCATTGTGAGGAATGAGTGATTCCTGTAAAGAAAATCTAGTGAATATAAGCTTGAAGCAAATGTCATTTATATTGAAATAAAGGAATGTATGTAGGCCATGACCATAAACAGGGGAGTGGTGTTAAATAGAAGAAACCATAGTCTTTATGTAACTTCCTGATACGTATAGCTTAGGTAACTCCTTGATATGTGTAGCTTATGTAGCCTCCTGATATACGTATGTTAGTTCCTGATATACTAGTGCAAACCAGTGTTGTAGATAACCGCAGAAATGTCGAGAAAATGTATAGCCAAATAAGGTAGCATTATATAAGTAGAATAACAGAGCGCATGCGCAAACAGAGAGGTCATGTAGAGTGCACTGATGAAGAGGAGCATCTTCCTCCCAACGACCACCGGACGACCACCTAGAAAAAGATGAAGCATGCACAGACCGGGGAAGTGGTGACGTACTTAGAGAAAGAGTCATCTTCCAAGAAAAAAGCAGAGAAAAACGAGAAATTAAGCCTAGAAAAGTATAAAAGGAAGGAATTGTAAGAAGTGAAGGCTTGCGTCTTGGTGGAGCGGAGACTCCCGGCGCACCCAGCGCTGTTTGCTTGCCTCTATTCGTTTAATAAATTGCAAACTTAAATTGGAAACCTGTGTGGGACGAAATCATTTATCACACCATGATTGTTATTTTTTAAGAACAAATTTTATTTTGTCCTACACTAAAAGGCAACAATTATACTTTATTTCAATAAGTGGACTCAACTGATTTTGTACAATTGCTTTAAGCATGAAAATATTTTGTTTCTGTGGCCTATTTCAGTTAAGAAACACTTACCTGGTTCTAGTTTTATTACTTTAATTGCTGCTAGCTCACCCGTGTTGACATTTCGAGCCTACAAACAACAACAAAAAAAATATTTAGAGAGCAGAACACCGCAACCAGCTCTGCATTCTCAACTCGACATTCTCTGACAACACAAAAGTCAAAAAGCAACCGATACACAAGGGTCTAAAACAGTGAAACCATGTGCTGAGGTTTGTTTTTTTTTTTTTCTGAAGCAAAAACAGCCTCAGGAGGAGCCAATAAATAAAAACATCTTGTATATTTACATTTCATGCAAGGTTAGAATTTTTTTTTCCAAATAAACCATTCATTTATTTTTTATTGGGCTTACAGCATATATTTTCATTAGATAACCATCATTATTGAGTTCTATCCAAAACACTTATTTAAAGTAATCCACATTTGTGCTTAATGACAGTGCACCAAACAATATGAATTCTGTATGAATTCATGCTCTTCTCCAGTATACATTTGTAGGAAGTACACTTCCAACTATATTTCCCATCCTGGATTTATTTTCTAACAATAAAGCAAGCTATCTCAGAAAAACCCAGCTAATTTGTATCAAGAACTAAACCTTTAAGTACCCTCAGGAAACTATATGCTGCCACACAACAGCCCTAAATTATGCAAGTCCTCAACCATGCTGTACTTCCATATTAAAAATTCATAAACAAACCGACCACCAAGATACTGGCTTCAAAGCAGTTACACATGGATCTCTCAGCAGATGAGCAGGGCCCAGGGAGCATCAAGGGCTGCACCGTGCAATGTATGTGACTGCTTCCCAGACTCCCACGAGAGCGATGCAAGACTTTCTGCTCATTTCACTGCCTGCGCCTTGGTCCTTACTACCCACCAGTGACAGCATCCTCCTCTTGCTGCAAGGGTGTGAAAAAACCAAGGCAGCAACAAAAGAGTTTGAAAGCATTCCCCTTGTACACACAGCAGCTCTGTCACCAACTTCAGCAGCAATTACTCAGCAGCTTCACTGCACTTCGTATGGGGCTCTGTCATGCTAAAGCCTACATTTCTACTGAGCAACCAAGGAAGCTAAATTTTTTAAAAGCTATTAGGAAGCAACATAAATTATGATTATAATGAATTATTATGATAACAATTTCTCTTCCAGAACTATTGCATTTGACTGGAAAGCAAGGAGCCATTTGCCCCATACTTTCAGCATGCTTCTGTGCCCCTGCACCCAGCTATGGGGAGAGGGCAGCAAAGTTGCACCCCATCATCAAAGCCGCAGCTCCTGAAGGATGCTCAGCTACAGCCTCTCCTCTCCCCAGGGGAGTCCTGGTACCTGGAGCTGCACTGTGCTGGGCCACTGCTGCACTGAATGCTGTGCCTGCTGTACCCCCTGCACAGGGCACAAAAGGTGAGACCAGTCCTGCTTTCACTTTTTCCCCTAATCTGTTTTCAAATCAAACGCCAGAATTACAGATCTTAAAGATGCAGATAGGTGCCCACCTTTTAAGCTGTTAATGGTCTCATTTAAGTTCCTTTAGGAGCTCAAGGTCTCGCACATTTTATGGATTGGCCGTAAGACTCACCAAATACTGTAAGGTATTAATTCTTAACATCACAGCTTCAGACCTGGTTGTGGAACCACAAGTGGAGCAAAAAAACCCAAATCCCTAGGACCATTAAAAATAGCCAGCAATACAATCTGGAAAGAAATACAGTGTGTATTCCTGTGTTTAGAGATCTACTCAGGTCATTCCTAGCACAGCTGATGTCAAACCTCTCACTGTTCCTCGGTGTGGCAATGGTCTTCTGCAATGCTGGGAGTACTGGCATTTGCAGGCAGTTGGTTATGGATAGATTCTGAGACCAGTGAGAATCATGTAAAAGTCAAGGAGTAGTCCAAACTTGATAGACTGTGGAAAGAACAGTTAAAAAATAAATTTTCTCTGGCAAACTTCCCTGTAAGTCATTATTTGTCACGCCACTGATAGCAGCAGTGTCTCCACTCATCACTGTATGGCGGAAAAGAGAAAAAAAGACATTAGGAACAGCAAAAATAGGGAGTTCCTTTTATACATACCAGAGAATGAAGGCAACACATGAGAAAGTGGCACCACTGAAGCATGACCTAGGATTTTTATTCCTTACTTCTCAACATACTCTTTTCATAGTGAGAAACAAGCACAGAGGCAAGATGTCCATGAATCAGAGGTCAGCATTTTTTAACCTCCAAGATTAATGAGAAAAATTACTGAAGCTTTAACAAAGACCTGAGATCATCAGGGAGTCTTGTTAAAACTTAAAAAACCTGTTTTGGGGCAACTTGTAGTTGTTCGGGGCAACTAGCAAGATGAGACACAATCAGTGAGACATGACTGTAGTGGATACAAGTGAGGAGATCCTGAAGTTGTGCATCCTGCATGTAGCTGGGATGTGCAAGCCAAGGTGGAAAAATTTCACAGGCTTCAGGGACATTGCTGGTCTAGCAAAAAATGTTTTGGTAATTTTTTAAAAATTTTATTTTAACAATACGGTGTTCAGCCATCAGGAATTTGTTTCTCTGACTATGGCTCCATAGGTCACTATGCTCTGCTAAGTCCTATGCAACTAAAGCAAGATAGAAGGTAAGTAGGCGCTAGTGACAATTTCAGAACAAAATGGATTAAAACATACGAGGATACTCATCACAAAGTCTTATGTGATGATGATGCCAAAAAACTATCAATAGTAGACAGATAAATCTACAGATATATCTGGAGCAGGACATGCAAAATCCCAGCCAAAAGAATAGAGTCTGAGCAGCAAGAAGCAGTGCCAAACCTGTGCCCTCCACACCTCATGGCTGATTCAGCCCCCTCCCATCACAGAGGTGTTTCTTCTTACACGTCATGTTCTCAAAAGAACTGTTCAAGATCATGGGCAGGAAAGAACAAGCACTGTGTCTTTTCATCTTCAGCTTACACATTACTTCCTTTCTTCAACACCAGCAGTAGGGGAACTCTTTGGCCAGCTGGCCATTATCTGGACCAGCATCAGCTGGCACTCATGAAAGCCAGAAGGAAGGAACAAAATTCGATTTACTGCATGTCATCAATACCTTCAGGAACAGCAGGCTACCAACTACTGTAGGTCCTAAGTTGTTACTTAAGAAAACATGACTTGAAGTCAACAATCTGAATAAGTTATCACTTTGCATCCTATTCCATTTGGGTTATTAGCATTGAAAGTGTTGTCGCAAGTAAGAATATGAATTGCCTTTGTTAATCTGGGTATTAAAAAAAAAGAGAGATCATCTTCATCGTAGTGACACAAGGGTTCCTTGCAAAGGATGAGGATTAGGTACCCCTGACGGGTTTTACGAGTTCTCATCAAATACCTTTGAAATCACTAGTTGTGAAACAATTCCTTGCCTAAGCTCACATGAATGAGAGACTGAGAAAGACTGAAGTCTTTGAATACACGTTGGAGCTGGCTCTGACTCTAAATTTGAGGGGGTGTGCATACATGCCATACCTCAGTATGTTGAGGACACTGCCTTATGCTTTCATTTCACATAATCACACTAAAATTCCCAATTACTTGGGGTTTTGAGATTGGAGCATCCATAAGGAATAGCTAGCTGAAGAACAATTTCAACAAATATTTCTGAGTTGGCAAATGCAACCAAAAATTTTAAAGAGGCTCATCTAAGAAAACACGTTTATTTTTTGTTTCCATTTGTACCTTAAGCACACTAACTCCCTGCCTTTGTGATGATGAGGTTAACAGCAATAGCCAAGAGTTCTTCGTCCCATCCCTGTTTCCCTGAGCAGGAGCCTGCAACTAATTCCTTCAAATGTAGATTTCACTATGTCAATGGGAATGCACTATACAGGTCTTCCGGAAGCAAAGATTGGCCTACAATGCCTGCATCTACACTCAGTCAGCAGCATATATACAACATCTGCTCTGGAAGACCACATGGAGATCCTCATTCTACCAGTGGCTAAAAGAACTATACTTTTCCAGAGATACAGATTGCCACATCTAGGGAGGAGTTTTAAAAAAGTCCACCAACCACTAAGTCAAGCTGGAGAAGTACTACCTAATTAAATAAGAAACAAATACTAGTGTCCCTGTGACAACAACAGGATATCAGATCAAAATGCTATAGGAAAAACTGCCACCCACTAGAAATAAAAGCTAGAAAAATCCAGGTTTTGTTGTTACCGTATTATACAAAAATTCATTAACCACAATGCCTCACAATTGGAAAGGCCTTATCACTCTGAAATAGAGGAGGAAAGAGCAACGGAGTAGAGCAGTACACATATGGGGTCTATCTGCAAAACACCATCCAAGCAAGAAATGTGCATGGTGTGTATCTGAAAAGAAAAGGAGGGGAAAGAAGGAGGAGGAAGGCTAGTATTTAGCACTGCCCATAATAGATGCCACAACAGCAGATTCATAAGGAGAGATCTGTTCAGCTAAATCAGTATAGACATAAAATCCAAGGTCCAAGCAGGCGAATCTTTTGCTAAATTTGTATCACCAGTTTCCATTTGTAGGACAAATATAAAGTTTATAATGCTGCAACAAAAACTAGGCCAAAAATCAAAGTCTAAGTAACAGCAGGGTGCTTCTGCTTTTGACTACTTCGTATGCGAACTGTTGAACAAAATTCACATGAGCAATTTCTAAACAAGTTGCTACTTCATGGGATAACTGGTCCCAGGGCACAGACAGGCTTCCTGACCCAGATTAGCTCCCCTCTTCAGGAAAATGCACCTAAACAGCTTCCCAAGCCCTCTGCTTGCAGCCCTTACAGTCCTCTCCTTCAGCATCTCCCAAATCCACATGACTGCCCCAGGAGCCGATTGAACTCTCGAAGACAGCAGAAACCCCCCTGCCTCCCTTTTTTTGGTTAGTTTTCTGCCAGGTTAGCTAACTGCTCTGGCCCAGGCATCATGCTGAGCACTAGAACTAATGTGAGGCAAGCAGTAAGACAGCCAGGAGCAGAGTATGAAATCGCCCCTCTCATGTAACAACGAGCTGTTACGTCAGTTCAGCCCATCCTACAAAGTCACAGCTGTAATT